TTACGCCCTATAAAACCACTTAGTTAGGTTAAGGAAAAACATCTTGGTCGGCCCTAAAATAGGAACTTAAACTCAGGTTTAGGCTACAAAACAAACGCTGTTAAGAGGTCGCAGCCAATTCAGGTATTTCTGTGAGACCAGGTCGCCCTGTTAGCTGTTAGCTGCCGACTCAGCCCTCTCCATAGAGCCTTGTGGAGGCATAGGCATCTACTTTGACTTCTGTGTTCATATTTCAGTATTTTTAGTTCACTTTGAAATCAATATCCTGACCATCATGTGTGATGTTGTGTTGGACACGGAATAGATTTATAGTATATAATATAGTGTTGCATTTAGTCATTGTTAAAATGTGGCTTCTCATGGCATTAGCGTTAGTGTGGAAGAAGTGCAACATACATTTATTTTCATTTTGATAAAAATTGTATTCAATCAAAATGTGATATCATTTACCAGAAATGTGATGAATAACGTGAGGCATAATGTTTTTCTTTATTATTGTGGCCTGTGTGTGCCCATCGTTTTAACACTGTTGGAATTTATTTTGGGATCAGGTACAGTACGAACAAACACTCGAGCATGCAGACCTGCAGTTTAAACACAGTCACACTTCAGGATATAGAAACCAGACAAAAAGCTGTCGAATTATAAAGTCCCCATTCCAGATGTTTGACAGTGATTCCTCTCAGCAGGATTGGTACTTTGTGGTATGGCTATCACTGATACGTTCTTTCAGCCTGAATCTCCTCCGCAACACCTTTTGTAAAAAAAAATAAAAAATCGGTGTTACGCATGAGAAGAAGCTGACAAAGGGAGCTAGACGGGAAGGAGAGAACGACAGAATTTAATAAAGTTCAACAAGGCAGAAAGGATTGCACAAGCAGTGAATAGAGATTCTGCTTTTTTTTTCTTCTCCTTTACAACTTCTGCCTACTTAAACACTTTTACACCCCCTCCTTTTATCTGCGTCTGCATTCACGAGGAATAGCTGGACACAGAGGGAGACACTCATTCCGTTTTTTTATTTGAATGTTGACCAAGGATGGCCACCATCTGTGCAAACTGTCTGACTCTATGACTCGCCTGCATCCCCAGCCGTAAATCTCAGACGGCGCTTCGCTTCTCAGATAATACACACATGGCAATTTATTGTCTCTGCTCTGTTTTGCCACTATTTAGGCTTTTATCGCTATTCTCTTACAGACAGAAGTAGCCTGTCATTTTCAGCAAACAGTGATTTCTGTGTAACGTCATCTCACACACTCCCGTTCCATTGACCGTGGCATCTGGTGCTTTTGTTTTTCTTATTCCTCATCATAAAGAAAACCTCTCCAGTCTTTCCAGAAACCCTACACTTATCTCTTGCTGTGTATTTCTTCCCCCCCCGGTCACTGAAAAGCCTTCCACTAAGCTCAAACACACAAGGGGAGTGGTGAAAATGGGGTAGATGACATTGTTTTCAGTGATATGGATGTACGGCTCAAAGACAAAAGTGTTGGTTGAATGTTGTCATGTCAATAAGCCATCAGTCGCGCCGCTAACAATAAGTTAATGATTCCCCCAGCAGTAATACATTTATGAATAGAGAAGTGTCTTCTTCAGCCCAGCGGGTGTGCCCATTAAAACAGAGCATGAACAAAATAATTGTGATTTGCAGATAAAATCCACTTTAGAATGGGATTCCGACTGAGGAATTGTTGAAAGAGCTGTAATTTTCCACTAAAATGTGACACACACTCACAGGAGCCCTGCTAATCAACTTGAGTATGTGTGTGAGTATGTGTGTTGCCACGTCTAAAGTCTGCATCTTTGTATATATACAAATTAAATAATAGCAAATGCAAGTGGGGTAGTTTCTCTGTTTAAAGCAAAAGTCTGTGACTTTTTTCTAAAATGAATGTCTTTTTTTAAGCCAGTACTGTAGCTGCAACACAACACTGATACAACTCATAGTATGTATGACTACTTTTGGTGAATCTTATTATTGATAATTCCCAAAGACGTGGTTTGATTCATGTTAAAGCACAAAACCGTTGTCTAAAGCAACAAAAGCGATTTGTATGAAATGTATTTAAAAATGTATAGTTCTCAGTCTGGACTTATCTTCCTTATGCTTGTTCTGGGTTCACACCAATGTCAAATATAGTAGTTTTGCTTTTTGAATATCGCTTGAATAAGTAAATAAAATACTTAACAAAGGAAAGTGTAGCAAAATAATTTTCCTGATTCAGGGAATGATCATTGTTGGAGTAGGGGATATGGAGAAAACCTGATTTCCCAGAAATAGGTAAAATTACCACAACCTCTTGCAATGCCAATGGAAAGTCAATTGGGATACTAATTCGTTGTGGACACCCGAATACCCAGGTTCAACAGAAATACGTTATGATCAAAGCCTATGTAGGGTCACAGTGCGTCAGTGTGTGAAACCAGAAGTCAAGATTGAGTTATTTTAGGTGAAGGAAATGTAATTCTTTCAAACCATAACGGATCTTTTAAAATGACCTTGGCTTTACCTTACCATAGGCTCCGTAAAAAGTCACTTAATGTAATTTATTTCTAAACTTTCTAAACTACGTTCAATTGTTTAATCTAACCACATTTCGTTGTGGTCATTTCATGTAGATCTGTGAAATCACGTTGTAAGAAAAAATCAAATGAGTTTTTCTAAGTTTTCTGTAATCTTTCCTTTTTTTAAAATGCTGTGTATCTTGAAAAACTTGACTTTCACCCAGGAAACGAGTTTTTTTGAATTACAGCGGCTAATTAAGAAGTTATGTAACAAATGTAGTTATTTTAAGCCTACCTTTTGTTTTTAAATTATGTAGGCTGCACAAGAGGTTTTGTAACTAACTTACTTCTCTTAACCCAAACCACAAGGTTTTCTTTTCTAAACCGAACCAAGGGCTTCTGTTGCCGAAACGTTGTGACATAGCTTTGTTTTCTAAACTTAACATAACATTGTTTAACCTAACAATGTTATGTTGCCTAAACCTGATATTAAATTGTTTAACCTGTCAACGTACCTTTGTTGCCTAAACCTAATGTTACATGTTTTTTTGTGATAGTGGCATATCTTTTTAACACATTCCATGCCAACATTACATAATGTGCTGTAAATAGGTTGTGGTCATATCACACATTTCTGAGAGATCACTTTGTAGGAAAAAGTCCAAATCTGTTTTATCTTTCCATTTATTGTAAACACTGTAAAGACTTTCACCCAGTAGACCGATGCACGTGTCTTATGTGAAACCTAAAGTCAACGTTGAGTTAATTTAAATCACATAGGCTATGTAAGAAGTAAGGTATATGTAACAAACTAAGTCTCTTTAACCCACACAGATCTTATTAAACTACATAGACTATGTAATAATTAACGTAACAAAAGTAATTATTTTATCCAGACTGATGTTTTCTTTACTAAACTAACACAAAAACTCTTGTTGCCAGAACCTAGTGTGAAATTGTTTAACCTACCAACGTAGTTTTGTTGACTAAACTTGTGTTAAATTGTTTCCATGGTGAAGGCAAGTCATTTTAACACAATCAGCGCCACCACCACACCAGGTGCTGTTTTAAGGGACGTTTGACAAATGTATGTGGGATCACGTTTTAAGAAAAAGTAGAAATCATTTTTTTTCTGTAATCTTTCCATTTTCTCTCCTAATGCTGTCTTGAAACAAGGGACATTCACCCAGCAGAGTGATGTTCGTGTCCAGCGTAAAACCAAAAGCTATTGTTAGTTATTTAAAACTATGTAGGTTAAGTAAGAAGTTAAGTAAAAAAAACGTTGGTCGTGCTTTTAATGACGATGTTTTCTTCCCTAAACCAAACCAAATAGTTTAGTTTCGTTAAAACCTAACATTAAATTGTTTAACCTCAGAAAGTATTTTGGTTGCCTGAACCTAATGTTAACCTTTTACACCTCTATGCCTCTTTCATCTTTTGAGTCTAGACAAAACTGATATTCTGATTCGGAAATGCGAGATCTTTACCTGCAGAAGTGTTAACTATGCAATAATAACAAGCAAGTAGATGACCCAACATATGTCATTGCAGTGCTGGTTGTATGCCGGTAATATACAATAATTTCAGCCACTTTATTTCATTTGTATATAAGTTAAAGGATTCCTCTGATGATCAATTTGCTAGTAAGACAAATAAACCTAATCGAGAAAGAAGGCTGGTGTGATTAGAAGATGTCAATTTGCCAGAACTTTAATGCCTCTAAGTAGGCAGCAGTATTTGAAAATAGGGAGATAGCCATCCTGTTGCTTTGGCCAAGTAATAAAATGTCTAGACACCAACTAACATGAATTTCCCTGAAGAATAAGTGTCATCAGTGTGAGGGTCCTGCCCTGTACTCCGAGGTGCAGTTTGAAATACTGTCTTTTAAATCAATGCTCACCTCTCCACTCTTCCTTTAATTGAACTTTGTGGCCTCCTGTCGAGACCTTTTGTCTAAGAAAACAACCAAGTTCTTTGCTGTAATCGGGCTTAATCAAACTTTTCAAACTGCTTTCTCTCATGACAAATGTCATTCTGGTTAATTGTGACTGGTTATGTTGGCATCTACAAAAAAATGACTTGATTTTCAGCAGTTCGTGGCTGAAAGAAAATGTTCCCACTTCTAAATGAATAGCTTTTCATTTGCACCATTCCTGCCTAATTCATCATTAGTAAAGACACTTGGATTTAGCACTTAAATGTTCAAGTTTTAAGATTGGTCTTTAATTTAACTGTTTTTCCCCAGGAAATTAAGGAATTATTAAGGAATTATGCAGGTACAGCACAAAACAAACATTTACATCCTGGGCGTGGTTACTGATTACTTGAGGAGAATGTTGATGCCTCAAAAATAGAAAGGGCTCAAAGTGAAGCCAGCTCCCAAAAGAATGAAAAAAACCAGTTGCTATACATAAAGCAGCAACGACGTGTAGGGTGATTTAGAAATGGTTCTTTTGATTAACTTTATTTTCTTCGCCCCTTCTACTTTCAAGAATTGGCACTTTGGACGGAGGTCCATGTAAAACGTGTCCATCTATCATGCTGGCTGGGTTCCCACAGCAGAGTTATTGACACAGTAAATTAAAGACGGCACACATCAGGTAGCTGACAGATCGGAGGCATCAAAATAAAGCTCTGCCACACTAGGTGAGTTCCTCTCTTTTTTTTTTATGTCCATACTTCTCATTTATGTCTGCCTCTACACTCTATTTTATCTACATTTAAAAAAAAAAAAACGTATGCTCTACTTTAGTGGGTGTACATGTTCTCCTATTTACCTGAAAGCATGCATTTGTTGGCCATATATATTCAGTTGTATTGGGTGTATAAAAGAAAATACTACTGCTCTTAATTTTCTGAATTCCCCACAAATAATTGAATATATTTATTCATGCTCTTATTTTTGTTAAGCATGAATATTGATATATTACCAGTTGACATTAACTATTGATTTTTCTCCAAGTTTTTCCTTACTACTTACCTACAGCTGGTTAATACATGTGAACATTTGTTATATGTTTCTCAAGAAATGATGAAACTTTATTTAGCCCCATAGGAAATAAGGTTAAACAAAACAAGGATATTCTGCCCCTCTAAGTATCTGGAGAGATGAGTGTGGTCTGCAAATGCAAGGAGGAATCATTGCTATATTTATTGGATTATCATGTTATGCAACAACTTAAGCAGAATGTTGTTTCCTGCTTGAAACAAGAGTGGAGACTGAAAACTCTTCAAGACTTTAACCGTTTTTAAGGATATGCATCAGGGAGAGACTTGGAAAAATGCTACTTTTATGTCAGGTCCTGGATCCTCTAAATGGCATGGCAAACTGCCCTGGTTACCATGGCTATGAGGGGGTTTGAGAGCGCATTAATCGGGAGGATTTAGGTTTCTTTCTCTTTCATTTTTTTTTTTCAAAAACACTCTCCGAACCCCTTTATGAAGCTGATTTACGTTGCACAATTTCTGTGTGTGTAGATCATGGGAATTGACTCCAAAAGGTAACAGTTTATGAGCGAGGGAAGATAGAAGTGTGTAGTCTCAGTCAGCAGACTGTTGTTGCTGTTGAATGTGTGTTTTAGTAGAAAATATCAGAGTTAGCAGTGTAACACATTCTGCCTACATTTGTTTATATGAAAGGTTTATGCTATGAGGGAATATTATTGTGCTAAACGGGCTACAGGGCTGCAGGTTTTTATCATTCATTATAGCTTAATGAAGATTAAATGTTTTGTAAAAGCTTTGGCATCAAAAGGTGTATTCATTTGCTACAATGGCCATATTTGGCACTCAACCAGCCCCTTCTTAATTGTGCAATCTGGAACTAGTAGATGATGTCTGATGTGGCTGCGCCCAGACTGTCTTGGGTAAATGGAGCTCTTTGTGTCCACACATTTTACCTATGACAGACAGGCAGCTGATAAAAATCACGCATAAAGCAGTATCACTCTGCGCTACTTTCCAGCGGCGATTTTTTCCCCCCCATCTTCTGCTTTGGTCAGAGACAGCAGATTGATGGTGACAGAGTGACATTGCATTCTGGGAACCCAGGACTATGGCCATAAATCCATGGCGATTCAGCTTTACAATGGCCTACTGTCTAGCCATCACAGGGTAGTAGGTTGTTACTGCATCACCCTAGTGAGCTGCTAGGGTACAACTATTATGCTTTCTGGGGGGGATTAAGACACCAGGGGAAATAGTCAGGATGGTAATGAATTATGAAAAACTAATAGAATGAAAAAGAGGAAGAGGAGAGAGAAAAACTTCTTTGGTGAGTGGAAATTTCCCACGCTCTTTAGACGTTAACGCTGCTATGATTCTTTTCAAGTGGATCTGTCAAATCAGAGCCTCGGCTGTATTAGAAAGCAAATACAACAGATGAACAAATAAACAGTCTAAGTTTCTTATTGACCTTGGAGAACCAGCTGTGTTGTGAGTGCAGAAAACTGCCCTCACCCCCCTTCCCCCCATTCTGGTGAAAGTGTGTGTGTGTGTGTGTGTGTGTGTTTGTTTACTTCTGTCTGATGTGAGTACGAGCAGAATAGAGCTCTTGAGCATAGGTTTGTGCTTTTGTTCAAACTGCATGCGTTTGTGCTTGCCTTTGTATTTGGGCACAATGAATGGCATGCAGCTCTGTCATTTGATTGGTTCGAAACAAACTTCAAACTTATTGATAATTCATTCAAGTCCCAGCTGGCCTTTTGCAGTCTTGGGATACAAGCTTGAGAGGTCAAATGTGTTTTATGTCTTCTATCACTGGGCCACATAAATAGTCACTATGTCCTATGATAATAAACGAACGTTTTGGCAACATCGAATTAAAAATAAGCTTTTCAGAAATAAGAAAATTATTCAGTGAAACTTTTACAGAAGTGAGTTATTGTGCATGTATTGAGAGTATATGTACAGTTTTCTAAGACTTGCACTTTGCAATAAATTAATATCAGGTGCAGTGTTTATATTACACTCCGATATCATTTTAAGAGTTATTTTTAGCCCTCATCTGTCTGATTTAACTGTTCATGGGAGTGATGGTGTGTGTGTGAACAGAAGCTGTTCATGTGTGGTTGTTTCAACACTAATTCAACAATAATCTGATATTTAGAAAAGGGGATATCAATATTAAAAGGTCAGGTTTATCCAAACTTAAAAAAACAAACGTATTTACTCTTGCCTTCAGCGCAGTGGTTCCCAAGGGGTCACACAATAAACCTAAACTCAAGGGGTCGTGAAACAATTAACATGTACACAAATTATTACTTTTTCCTGAATTTGCTCATAATCCACAGACAAAGGCTGTACCCATGGTGATGATTTTGTTTTAATTTGCCACCATACAATGAAGCTGAATGTAAATGTATTCATGGTGCTCACAGCATTGAACATATTCAAGCGTAACAAAGTGACAAAGTAGTTCAAATGTTGACGGTGTGTCGGAATATCCAGAGTAACAATGACACAATTAAGGAAATGTCACTGTCATTTTCTTTTTATGTAAATTGGCAATACTTTGAGCATCAAAAATACTTGTCTGCAGAAATAACTCCACAAATAAAATGTGCGTGTGTTTGTGTTGTAAGCTGTAATTTGGGTGAACCAACCCCTTGAAACACACAAATGAAACAAGCCTAGTACTGTAAAAGCAATGAATTCCATCTATGCTTATAGCTAACCAACATCATGAATAAGTGGGCACAAAGACTCTTGGTGATTTTGGCTCAGTAATGGGTGCCATACTTCAACTACCAGCGTATACCCGAGGCCTCTCCCTCTTCCCTCCCCAAGCGAGCTGGAAGCAGCTCTACAGTATGACCTCCTCCTGTGCGATCAGGCCTGCAGCACTTGTCATCTCCCTGGTGGCAGCTTAGATTCTCCAAGTTTTAGGTTAATTAATCAAAAATGATTTCTTTTCTCATTAGCCATGCAGTTGGTTTGCAATCTGCAAAATCAATGTTTTACAGATGTTTCCTTGGGTTTTGTTTTTCGAGACGGCGCTGATTTTTATTGGGTATAGATTTAAGAGGGTGCTGAGGGATTGTGAGTTAACTCAGCCACACAAAATCAAACGCACACGCGCAGCCACAGACACACTAAATGCACACTATGCATAGTCACGTGCTCAAATAAACACCAACATAAATACAGTAAATACAGAACAAGCTTACACAAACACACAAACTTGGCTCCTTCTAACTTACTTTCAGGACCTGGAATCTCAGCAAGAGCGCTGCGTTGAATGCAATCCCTTCATCTAACTGATACAGACAGCAGTTCTGCTCTCTTTCTCCATTTTGGTTCGCCTATATCGAGTCGATCGTTGCCAAACCCAGGGGGTTGAGCCACACACACACTCTCTCTGGGTAGCACTCTTTAATCACGTAACAGCTTCTGGTTCTAGTTCCTGTTGGTTGTAAACAAATGTAATGTTGCATTTCCTGCAGTCTAGACATAACAACAAACCTGGCAGAACCAGAGAAGGGAGCGACTGCGGTTGCGAAGGCGTGGCTGGCACAAGTGGGCACCAAACCAGGGCCGAAGGTATGAAGGGAGGAGCATTCACACATGCAGCTGAGGCGTTGGGCATTTGGTTTAGTCTTAATTTGAGCTTTGCATCACTGAGAAAGGTCATTAATCTTAGGTAAAAGTTAGGGAACTGTGTTTTTTTGCTGGAAATTGTATGTCCTGGGTGTCTTTACTTGTCTTGTAGTGTTAAAACATAATTTATGCCCTCCCTTTACTAAACAAAAATGTTAGCAAAATGTTGAAACATTGAGATTTTTTCTCATTTTCATATGCCTCTTTTAGATTGATGAATTCCTTTATGTAAACTTTTTTTGGAGCCTGGAATGTTAATTCTGAATGCCATCTGCTGCACAGTTGTGCTGTGTGTCGTATATATGGTTGAGTGTGTGTTTGTTTGCGCCTGCATTTGTATTTGTGTACACTAGTCCCCACCCACCGTTCCGCTCAACTACACAGGAAAAAGAAGATGAAGCAGAGGAGCAAAGGAGCCCAAACAGAAATTATTATTGATTTAATCACATAATCAGCCGCAAACACTTCAGGCCAAGATAGCAAATCCATAATAGCCTCCCCACATAACCACCCTTACAAATTCACCATCAAAGCCCACCGCGCACACACTGCAAACACGGGACGCAGGGGTCACCTTCAGTCGCTGGCAAAATATTGATGTTCCTAATGCTTCTATATGTTTTTGAGTTAAACGTTATCAATCACCGATAAGGGCCTGATGTCTCTAAAACATAACTCCTATGGCAGGAGGATTGCAGCATTGCCTTTCTTGTCATAATCTAAGCATATCTTCTCAGACAAAGGGAGACAATGGTGAAATCAATGTTGTCAGAGGCAGATATTTCCCACTGTGGCTGGTCCAGTCGGTCTTTAGATGAGGTACAGGAACACCGTTCAAATCCTTTAAGACGTCAAGATTTGTCTTCATGAAAGTGCTCCTGTTCCTGTTTCAAGGAAAATTTTATTAATTAACAATGTTGCAGACAAATGACTTATTTCTCGTAAAACTTCACACGTAGCTCTAAATTAAAACAACCACTATTGTATTATTCTTACAATGAAGCGTGGAATTATTTCATTAAAGCACAAGGATAAATTGGGTCTTTTTGAACGAATGAATTGCATTGCTTAATTAAAATAAAGAAAACCTATTGTTTGAATCAATAATGACACATAATGGAATGTTATTTGACATCAATAGCGTGAACTCCCTGAAATCACACTTTTTCACCTTTATTTCCCAAAAGTCATTAAGAGCACCTCTGTTACCTTGAGAGCAGCTGCAAGGCCTTCGTGTCTGAAAATGTCGTGTCTTTGATCCTCATATTCCCACTACCTTGTGTCAATTGTTGTGTGAACAACATCCGTGGCAAGATTAGATTAAAGGCCTTTTACCAATATGAATATTTCTATAACAAGGCTGCTGATGAATTGTATCAATGTTTTTAAACGACACTTATACTCCCCACTCAAAGAAAAAAAAATGTAAAGAAAGAAAATGAACCCTCTTTGATTGAATTGTCTGCATTTGTTTGTCAGCAATAGCCTTTAAATGTATTTACTTTCTGTAATTACAACTCTATATATTCGTTTGTATTGCTTGTGGCGGAGTCTGCCATTCCTGTGCTGGTAATAAATTGCTTACCTATGCACGGGGGAGTTACAGGAAACAATGCAGCACGTAATCTAACTGTTTTGGATTTCATGTCATTGACATCAGCCTCACTGTTTATTGTCCCTGAACAACTTTATGGTGAGTATCTCTTGAAGAATGACTCACTCTATGGGAAGTGGGAACATTTTAACATCACATTCACTATATTTCTGTAAATACTATGTAGCTGTAGTCAAGGAGGAAACTGCATTGTATCATCAACTAACTATCTGATATTGGATGAAAGCCCAAAATCAACCTTAAATATTTGCCTAACTCTACTGCACGAGAAGAAAGATGATTTGCCTAATTTTGCGTGGCTATACAACAATGGATTGGCTTCAGATTTTAACACCCCCCTCAACATCCATCTCTCCAGCGATCTATCCATTCAGTTGCCTATCCTTGTCCATCTAGCCCGGGGCCATGGGAGCCTAATTGTTTACCAAAGGGTTGCGGCTCATTTGCTCCTGGAGATTGGGCCTAATTAACACTAACTTGTCTGAACACCGAGGAGCGCTGTCCACTCCACTTTAATCTAATCTGTACTCTTTCAAAAAATAATGAGATCATTTACACCTCATTAACGAGCAATGTAATGTCTGGGCATTAATCATAATGATTGCTTATCATTTCACTTTGCAATATTATCTCCTCTAATGAAACTGTTCACACAACTGCCAAGAGGGCCTTAATTGGTCGTGTGAAATCACAGAGCACCCGGCAGCTTGCCGCAATGTGTGTGAAGTTCTAATTTGCATGGGTGGGGCGGGGGAGGGAATGATGGGGGGGGGGGGGGGGGGGGGGGGCGG